ATCCCCAGTATTGGTTAGTCCAAGAGAGAGGGAGGTTCTGACCTTATACCTTGTAGTATCCAAATTTTTTGTTAGCACCACCTTAGTGAAGGACAAAGAGAAGATACAAAAACCCATTTATTTCTATAGCAAGGCCCTTGGAGGAGCTAAAGAGCAGTATCCCAAAATGGAGAAGCTCATCTTGGTTCTCCTTGTTGCAGTTAAAAGACTAAGGCTATACTTTCAAGCTCATACCATTGAGATCCCAACCAACCAGCCCATGAGGCAGGTCCTCCATAAGCCGAAATCATCTGGAAGGCTAGTCAAATAAGCTATGAAGCGTAACGAGTTTGATATAAAGTTTAAGCCTAGAACATCCATTAAAGGCTAGGCACTAGCTGAATACATTGCAGAGTTCAACTCCAGACTGAAGAACAACTCAAAAATCCTGCCCTCACCACAAATGTCCCGACATGGAAACTCTACGTAGATGGCACATCAAATGTGTAGGGGAGCAGAGCCAACCTCATCCTGATATCTCCTGAGGGATACAATCTCGAGTATACACCCAGATTCAATTTTCAAGCTTCCAACAATGAAGTCAAGTACGAANCAAGTATACACCCAGATTCAATTTTCAAGCCTCCAACAATGAAGTCAAGTACGAAGCCCTCATAGCCGGGCATAACTTGGCTATGTCAATGGAGGCACAACAGATTCTTATTCACGATGACTCTCAGTTTATGGAGAGGTAGGTCAAGGAAAGATATGTTGATTGAGGAGATAAAATGGCCTTATAATTGAGAAAAGTTCAGGATCTACTTAGGAAGTTTGTCCATATTAAGCTCACTAGATTCCCCGAGAGGAAAATAACCAAGCAGATGCACTTGCAAAGTTGGCCACAACGGCCTAACAGGACCTACCTTAGATAACGCCTATTGAACTTTTACTCAAACCAAGCGTCCAAATCGACAAAGATCAAGCTATGCCTATTGAGGATAACAAATCTTGGATGGAACCCATCATTGCCTATCTATAGAATGGGGATCTCCCACGCAATCAAAAGGAAGCAGCTAAGCTAAAAATCAAAGCATCTTGATTTACCATGTGTAAGGTAAACTTTACAAATGCGGTTTTTCATTCCCTATACTGAAATGTGTGCTACAGAGCTTGAATTGGACTATGTCCTCAAAGAAATACACGAAGGCATATGTGAAAACCACATCAGAGCACATACCTTTGCTAGTAAAGTGCTCCGACAAGGATACTTTTGACCCACAATGATGAAAGATTTGAAGGAAATATTGAAGAAATGTCATGCATGCAAAATCCATGAGAATTTTTCGTATTGCCCGCCGCAGTAGCTCACGCCAGTGGTCAGCCTGTGGCCTTTCTAGTAATAGGGTCTAGGCATATTGGGACCCCTTTCAATCAGCGTTGGACAATGCAAAGTTGTTATGGACTATTTCACTAAATGGGTAGAAATAGAGGCGTTGGGAAGAATTACCGAACAAAAGGTGTGGAACTTTGTGTGGAAATCTATAATCTGTAGGTTAAGTGTCTCGAGGGCGCTGTGGTCTCAAATAACAATAAATAGTTCAACAATCCTGGGTTCATATGGTTCTATATAGAGCTTGGAACGAAAAATTATTTCTTAGCACGTGCACATCTGCAGTCAAATGGACAAACCAAGGTCACCATTTGAACCTTTAAAATGGAGCTAAAAACAAGATTATAAGCCTCCAAGGTCTAGTGGTTCGACAGTGCTGGCAGCCACCAATGAAACTCCTTTTAGCCTTACCTATGGAACTGAAGCAATGACTCCTGTCAAGGTCGACCTTCCTTTGGCCAGGGCTAAACTTTTTGACCTAGATTAGAATGATCGACCCCTACTTGTCAATCTTGATCTCCTCGATGAGAGAAGGGATGAGACATTATAACACATCTTCTCTTACTAGGGGAACATTGCATGACACTATAACCAAAGGGTCAGAAGAAGTTTCAAGTTGGGCGACCTAGTCCTCAAAAAATTACTCCTAGTAAGAAAGGATCCTACTCATGGGAAGCTTGGCCCGAACTAGGAGGGTCCATACATAGTGAAAAGGGTGGTCTGATCAGTCAACTATGAGCTACAGGCCGAGGAGGGAAAGGACCTATAACATTCATGTAATGCCGATCACCTAAAATGATATTATCAGTAGGATTGAGTTGTTATGAGTAGTTATGAAATTTGAAATCCAAAAAGCAGTTGTAAAAACCCAACTTCCAATCAATGAAATATGAAATTATTACGGACAAACTTATATGAAAGGCCTTCCCTTGATCAAAGGCGTGCGCTCTTCAATTGTGCAACATTGACTAAGCTTTCTAGTATAAGAGCTTTCCAGTTTGGTTGATCAAAACATCTTCAACATTCTAAGAGTTCATCAACTCTCAAAGGCGCGAGCTCTTCAGCAGCACGACCTTGACTAAGCTTTTCAGCTCGGTCGATTACAGGTTCTTTAGCCTTCCAAGAGTTCATAAACTCTCAAAGGTGCGAACTCTTCAGACGCACGACCTCGACTAAGCTTTTCGGCCTAAAAGCTTTTTAGCTTGGTCAATTACAGGCTCTTTGGCCTTCTGAGAGTTCATCAACTCTTAAAGGTGGAAGTTTTTCAGCCACACAACTTCGCATAAGATTTTTAGCCTAAGAGCTTTTTAGCTTGGTCAATCACAGGCTCTTCAGCCTTCCAAGTGGCAGCTGAGTCAAGACCAAGCCCAAACTTGTGAAGGCTCTTAAGTTGTGACCAATGTGGAGAAGGGAACTGCCTCAGCTTGGCCAAGGTTGCAAACCCTTACGATCTCATTGAGGGTAAACCCAGGATCACCTGCATCAATACAAAAATAACTAGCGTTAAGAAAAAGGGGAGCAACATGAAGGTGTTCTTTCTACTAGGAGAAGAAGACTAACTCCTTACCCCTGCTCGGAATGTGTCCCCAAGAGCGAGGAATATGGAAATTGTTTGTGGGTGCCTCACCGAATTCCTGGGCATCCTTGGAGATGAATAAAAAATGCTGCAACCATCCATCGGAGGGGCCAGGGTTGTGGAGGACCAGCATTAGGACTTGAAACCTCCATGTAAATTGGTAAAAGCAAGGAGGAAAGTTATCGTCAAAGCGAAAAAAATAAATGAACTAAAAAATAGAGGGAAAATGGTCATGTCCATGCATATGCCAGAAGATGAAAAAACTCACAATGATGCCCCACCCTTTTGGTGAAAGTCGTTAGGGGTAGAGCCCAAAAAAGGCCAGAATCTGCCTAATCGACGGGTGAATGGGTAGATGGAGCCCCATTTCAAATGCACACTCAAAAAAGCAAACATTCCTCTAAAGAAGAAGGTTGTAGGGCTCATCAAACTTAGGGCATTGAAGGACCACACCTACCGAAATGTGATACTGCCTTCTAATTTTCTCTGCCTCAACCACTGTCACTGTGTTGGGAAACAGAAAAATGGCATAGTGGGGGTCGTCTATGAGGGAAGAGGCATGTTTCCTGAACAAAGAAGAAACTAAGGAATCCATGAAGAAACAAGAGACAGTAGCCAAGGAAAACAGCTATCGAAAGTGAAAGAGAGTTTGAACAACAAAGTAGCTAATTTATGGAGGCAAAGGGGGGATGGTTAGACTTATTTAAGAAAACAGTTTTCTGATAGGATTTAATGCAAGGTGTTCAAGGTGGAGTTAGGTGGGCACATAGGTAGGCGCATTTAACCACCTTTTTCCAAAAAATGTATGCATGGGGCGCTCCTATCGAGATTTAAAATCACGAAGAGCTCGAACCTCTAGCTCAAAGAACTAAGAGATCGATAAGCTAAACCTCCAACTTAGAGACCAACGAGCTCAGACCCTCACATTGAGAGCTTGAGAATACGAGGAATAGTGTTTCTCCACCACAAAGGCTAGGAAGCTTGAACCCCAAGCCCGAACGATGCGAAGCTCAGGCCCTCCAGTCCATGGCGAGTAACAAGATAAAGTCTAGGAACTCAATCCACAAATTTGGCACAATCAACAAAAATCATACTCTAACCAGGTTAAGACCTCCTTGGGGCCAAGAGGTAAGGAAGATATATATAATCCAAAAGATATGCAGAATCCAAAAGATTAAAAGGGTTCATCTCATTCAAAAGGGAAAAAGGAAATTATTTACATACATTTCAATAAAAAAAAGAGAAAAAGAAAAGCAAAACAATTAGGAGTAGTGGTTTTCAAGGCTTCAATGTAGTCAAATTAGCATCACCATCGCTAGGAAAACCTCTAAGAGGAAGGTCGAATCGAGGCTCAAACTTGTCAAAGCTAAGATCGGGGAACTTCTTGATGGCTTGCTCCTCAAAGTTAAGGAACCTATCCATGAAAACTTTGGCAACTTCTTTCTTCGATTTCTCTATCTTTTGCCTCTACTTCTTGACCATTCGTCTCTCCGCACCTAATGAGTCCTCTAGGTCAACAAAAACTGTGCAGGATTGGGCCAACTAAATCTTTAGATCCATTCTCTCAGCTTGTGTTTTCACTAGCTCATCCTCCCTCTGGATCAACTGACCTTGCAAGGAGATCTCTAAAGTGGTGGCAACAATCAAATACCAGAAAATCTGTGCTCTTTGCTCAAGGGCCATGTCTAGCTTAGCCGCCAACCCTATACCCCAATGCAGCATCTCAGCCAACCTTGCTTCTCTCCTCTCCGTCGCTGCCCTCAGAAGTTGAATCTCCCCGCCTAATGTACAACGGTGAGTTATAACTGGAAAACAAACTAAAAGGGTAAATGCTTTCAAGGCTAAAGTTAGACAAAGAAAAATGATAGGTCAAACCTTAAGAAGAGCGTGCAAAGAATCTTGGGTCCTGGTCTTGAAGGGGAGGTCGATGGACCGATGGAGATCAGCTTGAGGGATAAGCTCCATGAAAGCTCGGCTAGCAACCTTCCACACCCCTGGAGAGAGGGCCACGTAGCACTAGGCGCACCTTGGGATTAATGCACATAACCCCAATAGTGACCTCTTCGGTAGAAACAAGGTTGAGTTCTAGCCTTAGGGCTCAACATGGGATGATCTTCGACAACCCTCGCTCTTTTAGCTGGAGACTTTAGGCCCCATGCCGACCTCTTTTGGCCTACTTGCTCCATAATTGCATCCCTCTTGCTAACTAGATATGTAGGGGCTGAGGAAATAAACCAATCAAGTGAGCAAATAAGTGATTCTCACTTTTTCGTGATATGATAATTATATTATACACCCAAGTATAAGTGGTCAAATTGTAGTTTTCTCGGTTTTAAGTCCAAGTAGATTGATAACTAGTATAATTAAATGGTTGATTGTAGATAAAGTTGATAGAAGACAAAAATATATAAAAAGTATCCTTCAGTTTAAGGATCCCACATGCGTTATATTAGGTGAATACTAAAAATGCTACCTTACAGCAATTAACTTCCATGTTACTTTCAAGTCAACCGGTAGATCTGATGTATATAAACCATCACACAATAACTTCTTATGTTAGCTGGTGGTATTCATGACAGTTGATTAATCTAAATGAACCAGAAGGACAAGTCATTCATAAGGAATACTTGAATTATTCAATTGTCACACAATAGTAAGTGTGTACATAATAAACCACAACACAACAACTTCTTAGGTTAACTGGTGGTACTAGTTATAACACAACAACTTCTTTGGTTAGCTGGTTATAGATGTGCCAATTGACTAATTCGAGTGAACCAGAAGGACAAGCCATTCATGAGGAATATTTGAATTATTCAATAGGTCATCTGTGATATATATATATACCACTTAAACATCTTCAGTATTCCGGTGGAGGACTAGCCAAACCGATAGGAATACCGTAGATATTAGACTGACAATATTATCATGCATACTAGTTAAATGATCTTAGTAATCTAGAAGGACAAGCCGTTCATAAGGATCAGTTAGGTCATTAATTTGATAGTTATATATAGTAGTTAAACAACCCTAATAATCTAGAAGGACAAGCCATTCATGAGGATCATTTAGGTTTTGTACCATGCATCAGTAGAACATCCTTAGCGTTCCGGTGAAGGACTAGCCATATTGATAGGAAAACCACAGATATATAATCGGTAGGTTCATGATGCACTAACGACATAATTCCAGGCACAACACCAAAATTATGTACATCACTGTATTATGCATGAAGCATATAATGTAAAACCCGGGAAATTTTAAAATTTTTCTAAAAAAAAGGGTAAAGTGGTAATTTGTCAATATAATACGGATTTAAAATCAGTATTTTTCTAGAGCTCGGATCACTCAATGGACCTTGCTGTTGGATTTGTGATGCAAAATCGAGCTGCCCTGTCAATTTTTATTGGATTCCGAGATAGTCGAATTTTACACGTTTTATGAGACAAGCAGGCGACGAATGAACTTTCAAAGGTCCCCAAAAATGGAAATTATAAAATTTTCTTATAATTGAATAAAATTTCAAATAAAATTAATTTGAACTTAAATCGGGATGAAATAAATCATTTCAATGCAAAAACGGACCCAGACAAATGAGGGACGTGTGACTCGATATGAGCCAAGTCTTTAAAATTATAAATAGGGTTAAAAATCAGATATTTCAGCAGAAATATCTCTGCATGTCAGCCCTTAAATGTGTGGAAGAAAGAGGGAGAGAAAACCAATTTTTTTTTCGTCGATTCTTCGAGTTTCATCGGTCGAAATCTGTCGAGCCAAGAGTTAAAGTTCATTTACGCGGTGAGTGCTACATGTACGTATCAAGAACGAAGAATTTTACCGAAGATCCAAAGGGAAGATTTTGGGGAAATCAAGATTTCGAACTTTGGAGGTGATCTTGAGGTTCTCCACAATCCTATCATGCTCCAAGAGGTAGGATTCCCTCCTACTCCGGTTCACTTCTACCCTAGGATGTTTTTATGGAATGGTTATATGTGTGGAATGAATTATGACTTACCTATAGTCATGGAAACAAGGGGATAGGTCTAGAAATGGCCTAAATGAACTTCTTGCTTTAATTTGAAATGTGAAAGTGTTTGTGTAAGCCCATGAAATTTTGGGAGTAAGTGGCATGCTATGTGTTTACATTATTGCTTGGTGAATAAGTGTGTTATTCACATATATTATGTAATAACATGCTTGTGATTGGTTGTTGGAGAACAAAATGTTGATATGTGTTTATTGATGTATTAACATGGTGATGAAATTGGTAATTATATGCATGAGATATAGATTGCCATGTAATATGTTATTATGCGACTTAACTTGCTCACATGACACCCATTACATATGAAGCATGAAATTGAGATAGCAATAGTGCATTACATTGCATTTGCACGAAAACATCGCATCCATGGGCATAAGACATGAGTGTGGGTATGGGTGTGTGCATGGTTTAGGTTAAACACTGTGACGTTCCTAAAACCGGGGGTCTCATTGACCACCCGTCAATCCGCAGAAATACCCGTGATTGTTGCATAACCCAACATCATGTCCATCACAGCCCTGTAACCGGGATTATAACTCACACGAGGATCCGTATTTCCTTTTATCATTTAATCCCATCAAGGTTCAATATACCCCAATGTATCTCATTTAAGGTCCATTGTGTCATTAGAACCAAAGAACACATAGCCTAAGAGTGTGACAATGCATTCTTAAAATTTCAGATTTTTGGAAAACCTTCCGGAAGATTTGTTCACTGGAAAATTTCTACTAAAAGGTTTTATGGATCTTCCGGTAGGTTTTACCTACTGGACTAACTTCTACCAGAAGGTTTTACTTACCTTCCGGAAGGTTTGCCCACTAGATGAAAAATTGCATGAACCTTTCGGAAGGTATTGTGGACCTTCCAGTAGGTTTTACCTACTGGACATAAAATTTACACTAACCTTTCGGAAGGTTGTTGTGACCTTCCGGAAGGTTTTGCCTAGAATTTCATGCTTTATCATATTTTCATTTCCAATTCATTCAAAACCTTTCCAAACTCCAAACATGGATAATGACATTTTCTACATTATACATGATCTA